GACACATGAAAGCCCAGCTGGATCAGCTCCCTGGGGCATTAAAACTCTAGCTCCAGCTACAAACTGCCAAGGCATATGTGCCCCTTTAAGTCAATGGATATCACAGGGCTAAGACACAGCACGAGACGCCTCCAGCCCTGCAGGAAGGGCACTCTCACTAAAGAGGGCTTTGGCTGTGGAACAAACTTCCAGAATGATCACGTTAATCCAAACTGATGAAGCAAATCCAGAGTTTCACCCTCTTCCTCTTGCATTACAACTGTGGTGACCCAGGTAACAATCAACTTCTAGCACTGCTTCTGGAAAAGGTGACTCAATATAAGTCTATTTTAGCAGAAGTGATCCAAGATAAATCTCTTAGAGCTACTATGGGGAGGTTAAAAACATTACAGATACACTAACATGACTGTTAAATATCTCTGTGTTTCTGGGTGCAGATAGGATAGTTATGAGGGCTCTCTGTCTAGTCTCTCATTCTTCCAGTGAGTCCCATCATCTCACGTAACTTTTTCTTGCTGCACCTAGCAGCAATCATAGCCAGTTTATTATAATGATGGCTGTAAAAGATAGCATTAAAGAAAAGACTCTTTGGGGGGGAAAGGCATTGGCTGTGATGCTGAACAATTGTTTGTGGTCAGCTGTTTACAAACTAGTATTTTTCATTTTATAAACAGAAGAGCATTTTTTATAACCTCCCTCTCCTCTAGTGCTCCCTGAGATCTGAAAAATAGTATTTCCCTGGCATACTGAGGTTCCCTCAGGTTTCCACAGTCACAGCAGAGCAGACAATTTTGTCAGTGATGTATGAGGCAGAGTAGAATCCAACCCACTCTTTGAAGTTTGCATTTAGTCGTAATGCCAGCAGGCCTATGAGCTTGTTTTTGCCATTAGTGGGAGCAGATAGGCACTTTTTCTTATCCTTAGCTTGAGTGTGTTTCATAATAAAATCCTTTAGGACATGGACATTATGTTTAAAAAGAAAAAGAGAAAAAAAGAAAAAGGAAGAACTTCTTGGTTAGGAACTGAGGAAAAATCAGTGCCATATGTCTTTCTAGGCTGAAATACAACAGGGTGCAGTAAGGCAAAGATTGTGGAAGGACCCTGTTGTGCTTGGCTGCTGAAAAGCATACGGTGCAATAGTATTCCAGCTCTGACTGTGAATTTTCCTCTTGTCTTCTCTGGCAAATGTGATAGTTTTAATATATATGCAACTATTCCATTTGTACCTTGGAACAGAGTGCTGCTCCATCATCAAAACTACCTATTAGGTCAGGCAGGTCCCTCCTCAGAGATAACCTCAGAAGAAACAGAGAAGAGTTATGAACAATTTCCCCTCAAATTGCCTGAACAACCTTTATATGGAGAAGAGGTTACAGAGGCTTGGATTTCAATGGCCATACTGGAGATTTTAGGATGCTGGAATTCCAGGAAAAGGAATCTCTCCCCACCTTGAAGCAGTAGCTACTCCAAAGAAAATCAGCAGCACTGATCCTCAGCTGTTTTTTGTGCCTTTGCAGAATTGCTGAGATGCTTTCGGTTTGGTGTCAGGGCTTTCTTCATAGCCTTGGAGGGGATGGCATGGAAAGTGTTATATTTCAGAGTTTATTATTTTTTGTTTAACTTTCCCAGTGTACTCTGCAGGGCACGATTCTGTGGAAGTGTGAGCAAAACCCTAATTCCCGTCTTCCTGCTCTCCTGTTCTTGACCCGGCAAGTCTAGGACTACAAACAGAGCTTCACATCTCCAGGGACAGCCTTTGTGTGGAGCCCAGTGAAATGCTTCAGATACATGTGTAATCAGAGATTATAATGAAAAGTAGAAGCTGTTATACCGGATTCAGTATCTTCTTTCAGTATCAGGTCAGTGTACTGAAGGGTTGTTTCTGACTGAGTCTGATGCTTGCAGCTTCTGAGGAAGAAAGCATAAATTTTGGCACTGGGCAGTACTGAAATAGCAAGCCTATCCTGGGAAGTTTGTAACCATAAACAGTGTAATGGCTGGTTTCAATTCTGAAGCTGGAAGAGGTCTTATGTCTCCTAAAACATATTATTATTATCTCTAGCGCTATTATCCATAATGTAACTGCAGGTTTTTGCATTGTCCAATCCTCTCTAAAAATCCTATTAGGCTTTTGACCTCTATGGTTTCTATCTGCACAAAATCCCTTACAGCAAAATTAATCCCTGCAAAATTCTCTTCATGGTTGCTACTGAGGGCATTCCTCACTGAGGAATGTACTGAGGGTATTCCTAAGCTGCAGGCTTCCTGTATTTTGGTGTCCAAATGGTTAGCCTGTATACACAATGGGAAGCTAAGTTTGCCAGCGTGGCTGAAAGGAAGTTGTGGACACATACTTGGGCCCAAGTCTGTAATCTGCCTGCTTTGCTTCGATGTGATTGTAGTATGGCTTTAAGTAGCAGAGCTGAAATACAGAGTTGTTCACTATGTTTCTAGAACTAGCTGTACTGCTGTCTCTCTTCTTCTTTACCGTACCTTCTTATATCCTCCTTGCCTGTTGCTCCTAGAAGCTGAAAAGTCAAACTAATGCAAACTAACTCAAACTCATGCAAAGTAGATGCAAAATAGAGTATTGCAGATTCTGTCATAAGGTGGAGTCTGAGTTGCGCTTCCAGGCAGTGACTCGTAAGCATCGCTTGGTGTGACTTAGATGTGGCACGCAGAGCATTCATCAGATCGTTTGTCCACCCTAGTCCTGTACCGTTGTTGATACCTGTATAGACTGGTTGAGTGAACTGGGCATCGTCATCCCTGTTATGTTTCTATTCTAGACAAAACATTTTCCCTAAGATTCACAAATGTTGAGCAAGGAACAATTGGCCCCGTTTATGGGAATGTCGTTTGTGACATTAATAGCGAAATGGCTATTCCCTTGCTTTCCCATCAAGTGTGTGCTCTATTAGCATGCTGCATCTGCTGAGTTTATAATTCTGTTTTGTTTTGCATTTTATTGATTTTCTCTGTGGTCAGAGCACAATCAGAGCAAGAGAAGGTAACAAGGGTTTCTAACAATGACAGTGGGCACCATGGTGTTGATAGCGGTGTACATAGGCAGCAGTAGCACCTCATCTTGTCCATGCGCATGAGGATCAGATCTCTTCAGTACCTTGTGCATACACCTTTACAGAATTTTCCACATTGATGTCTTCTAACCTGCTTTGCTTCCTTGAGGGATCTCTCACTGCGAATAATCATTCTTGAGATACTTCGTCTGAACCTGTCGTGCCTCCTTTATCTTCTGGATCTGATGAAAATAGAGTCTTCTCCCTTTCCTTTTTACTGTCTTTTGTAGAAGAAGAAACAAAATTCTCCAAAATTAAGAGGTGTCACCATCAGGAGTTTATAATCCCTTCTGTCTACCTTCTGCTGGCCCACTGTTATCTGGTGTGGGGGCGAATTAAAGGCTGAAGTCATGTTTCTGGTAAGACTAAGCTCAGCAAGGAGTAAAAGGAGAGGTATACAGAGCAAACCTTCAGAGTTCTCACAAAAAACCCCAGCTCTTATCTAATGAGAAACATGCTGATAAGCTGTTGGGCTCAGAGGTGAGTTTACTGTGGGGCTGAGGAAACTGCAAACTCCTTACAACCTCTGGCTGTACCCAATCAAGTGTATACTACTGGTTGGGTGACAGAGAATCACATGCATCGTTTTCACTCCTCTTCTGTTTTCCCCCAGAATCCCTGCAAATGTGTCTGGCCTGATACCTACCTGCTTTCCATACCGATGACAAAGTTGGTAGCCTGACTGATTTTCCTGCATTAGAGAGTCCAAATTTAGTTGCGGTGTGTTTTAAACAGAATGAGTTGTCCAAAGCTTGGGAAAGGCACTTCCTAAGTAAAAATTTCAAATAAATTGATAGATAAGTTATGACAGAATTATAGGGATTGCAAATCGTACCAGAAATGGAGAAGTCCTGCAATGTAATTTCTTGCCCGTCATCTTATGTGCGTGAGTGTTTGCTAACCAGGCTTGCATATTTCAAGGCTTTAGCCGGCTTTAAAACTTCAAAGCTGGTTTGAGGTGTAAAATGTGATAGGAGTTGATAAGGTAGGGACATCGCTCCAGGTGTCATCAGCAATCTGTTGTTATTGTTCAGTCATACTGCAGATCTACCTGGAGGCTTTTAGCAGGAGCAGAAAGCTGCTGCTTTGCTCTCTGTTTTAAACAAACAGGGGCAGGCAGTCCTGGCCTCGATTAGCTATTAATCTAATAGCCCAGTTTTAGCAAATTTTTACCCATTTTGTAGGTTAAAAAGTTACAGTACTCATGTGAATGGCCTCAAACTAGTCAGTATCTGAGTGAAGTTACTCCTGAGACAAAGAGATTGCAGGATCAACGTGTAGATTCAGGGTTTAACCCAAAATTATGCAGGAAAGAAATCTCCTTTTTTTTTTTTTTTTTGCCTTTCAGCATTCATACCTATAAAAGGTTGAATTGATTTAGAACTTTGTTCACATTTTTAGAAAAACAAATCTCTTCCAAGATGGACTAAATGCCTTTAGATATGAAAATAAGGCTTGATATTAGAAATGCAGATGTGAGACATTTTATTGACTACCGGGGATTTCAGTGCCCCTGGAGCAACCTGAAGGAGCTTTTTCCAGCAAAGGCAAACATTTAGCTTAAGAAAGAGGCTTCCACCAACACAAACAGCTGGTTTTTTTCACATAGAAGAAAAGCTGCTAGAGAAATAGGTTAGAGAGTGAATAAAAAGGCTTAAAGTCAGAGGTGAAGCTGCCCTTCCTGGCCACCCCTGCCCTGCTTCTTCTCTGCAAACATCCCTTGTAAGTACTTCACTTAAGCACAGGAGGGTTTTCCAGCTCATGATGCAATAGCCAAGGCAGGGGGTGGGTTTGGTGGGCTGGGCTGAAATTTAACATCAGGAGGAGACTGAAACCTAGCATTGGTGGAAGCTGTGTGTGATGCAGAGGTGAAGGCTGGATCTGGCTTAAGGCTTAGGGGAGGTGAAGGAGGGGGCAGCCAGTGAAAGAGCCAAAGAAGCAGGAGTCCATGAGTGGCAGTGGAGGAGAAACTGAGAGGGGGAATCTGGCATAACAGGAGTGCAGCCACAGCACTTGTAGAAGGTAAATAAGTAATCACAGTAAAATAAGGGGCATTTTTGCAATTTGATTGGAAAACGTCTGATTGCTGCCGCTCTCCTGCTCTGGCTGGATTTCTTGCAGCTGGTATGCGCTGTGCTCTCTACAGCACGCTTCTGATCCATTTGTGCAAAGCCTTACAAGAAATCTAGATCTGTGGTGTTCCACATTGATCTAAAGGCTTTGTTAAAAATGTGAATCAGCTCCAAACATGAAAGAATTAGTTTTCAAATTATGACTTTTAAAGTAAAATACATGTGTGTGCGTGAAAACAGGAAGGAGTTCAGAGAAAGCCATGGCACATCTGTAATATGCATGCATGTTATGGGAGAGGGGATCGCAAGCAAAAAATCACTTGGAATTAGCTGACGAACTTCATGTATGCTTTAGAATGTTTCCTTTAGGTGTGTTGGTAAGGTGTTAACACTTGCACTGAAAATAGCATCCAAAAATCTTAGTATATTTAACTAACTCTAATATGTAAGGGACTGGTATGGAACTACAGAAGCAGGAAATAAAGAGTGACGATAATGTAAAATGACTGCGTAGTGAAGTATAAACAAATAAGAAGTCAAATTTAGTCCTATCAAATCTGACTCAGATACAGACTTGCCTGAACTTGACTACTCTGGGATTGCAGGGTGTTTTTTCCCTGTGCTATCTAAATAGTATTTGAACATTGTGCAGATGCTGCCAAGTTAATCAAATGAATAAGCCTTTGAGCATGAGCGGGAGTTTTAAGCATGAGTGATCAGGGCATTTGCTGAGGCTGCATGTCATGTGAGACCCCATTAAACTAAATTAAATAGCAGCGCAAATCATCCAGTGTGTGGATGGGAATGAGAGGAGAAAGGAACCTAGATCTTAACATCTGACCCTACAAATCTGTCGCTCACTCTGCCCTTGAAGAGAGAGATTTAAGATCTTATTTCCTGCTTCCATCTGAATCTCTGATCTAGAATTATCCACCAGTTTGTTGAGAGATTGCAATAATGAATCTTCCTCACAGCCAGGGGAGGTTGCTAGCAGCATTGCACCTCTCTGACATTACATGCTCTAATTACATGCAAGATTTTTATGAGTGCTGCAACATCATAGAAAAGAGAACAAGATAAATTCCAGGTTTTCCACAAGTGACCTAGGATTTCCTAGATAAACTCCAATAGAGAAAAAGCAGCTTGTTCCTTTTTACGCTTGTCTCATGTGCCATAAAAAATACTTAGGTCTTCCTGCAGGAGTGCGGAAGCCCCAAGCACAGGCTCTATCTAGTACTTGCAGTTCATAGCTCTGTAGAGGAATGGTGCATCATCCATATCCTAATGTAGCCTTGCTTTGAGGAACTAAATGTCTCTCCAAGTACCTGTCAGTATTATGTTCAGTGCCGTTTTGCACCCTGTTTCTGGGGAGATGTGCTAATCCCCATCTAAAGGCCAGCACATTTATGTACGTAACCACCTTCCTGAAAGACAAACTAGGCTTTTTTTCACAGATATCAGAATGAGATATTTGAGTAGAGTGCTTAGGTGTAGTATTTTGATTTAACGGGAACTTAACAGCTTGATTTATGCTCAAAGATGATCCAAAGGTTGGAATGGGCAGGGCCAAAACAAGCTTGGTTTCAGATCAGTATATAGAAGTATTATGAATAGTAACAAGCACCTAAGCCTGTTTCTAGAATACTTCTAAGAAAATTTCTAAAGCAGAGGAATTAGTGCATCAGGACAGCAGGTATTTTTGATCATCAGTGTTGCTTTCCTCCAGATCTAATTTCTTATAGATTAGCAAAGAAAACATCTACTTTTGCAGAGAGATTTTATTTTTGGTTGTTATTCTGTGTACTATAATATTAACTTATCTTTAGAAGTCTAGTTCATATGTTAGACACAAGTGTGTATTTCTGAAGTATTGAAAAATAGTTGTCTTTTCAGCTGAAATTTTTCCTTTGAAAGTAAGTGAAAGAAGGTGAGGAGTCAGCATTTGCATTTGTGTAGCATCTTGCCTCACAGGATATAGAAGCACTTTGCAAAAAGTTAGCACTTTGCAAAAAAAAAAAAAAAAAAAAAAAGCACTAAGCTACCCGTCATCCAAGGAAGATTCAGTAAAAGACTGTGTGATGCTTACAGATCTTTCACCCGCTTGACTGAATGTGATGCAGTAGATGCAGCTAGGAATCTCTTGAGTCTTAGGATTTACACTGGAAACTTGGAAAATGGAAAAGGATCTGTCAGCCTATCTCATTAAACAGTTCAGTTGCTAATTTTTCTGACCTATAGTCATTGTTTACTCTAGATGATACTCAGGGAACAGTGCATGAAGGAAGGGACAACCTTTAGTATTTGCAAAGTTGCCATATAGCTTTTAGAGCTAAAGTCTAACCGTCTAGCTTTGCCAGTTGGATCAGTGTGAGAGACAGTATTTGAATGCAGATTAATTAGAATAACCCCCTTTTTTTTTAAGTTCAAGGAACATCAGCTTGCTAATTTTACTGCTAGCTCCTTTTCAGGACAGCTTTTACTTAGGAAGTGTTTTTTGAATTGGGATGCTGGGGGAGTATATTAGGTCACTATAAGTCACGGAATAGAGATGTAATTAGTAGTTCATCAGTCTGGCTTAGATGCAGCAAGTGGCCTAAGCATGAACTGAGTATGGAATCACATACGAGTGGCTGTCCAAGCGCTTCTGAAACCAAGAGCTTGTACCACTGAACACAAATACCTCATCTTTTGGCAGTAAGCCACATAACCTGTTAGAGGGCCTAATGCTACAATTCCTACCATGTGAGCAAGCATCTTGCCTCTTGTGCGACCCATGTACATACATCTTTGTCAAATGAGTGTCCGGGAAACTCACATATGGGTGCCATGGTCAAATGACCCGTGTGAGAGAGATTCAGGAAAGAGGATGCCGGGAGGTGTTGCAGGCCAGGTGAGTTATTCTAATGGGACAGAGAGTCACAGACCAAGAAAATGACTTTTTATTGTGTTTGCTCGTCATCATCACTTATAATCCTTAACCTTCCAATGATTTCCCAAAGAATTAGGATGTGTTTGCCTTACAAAACTCTCAGGAATGTGATTCTTACAATTTGGACATTTAGATGTGAAAGGAATTGTTGTAAAATATTTAAAGTTATTGTTTATAGCTATCATTTAAGTCTCTGTTAGGAAAACCGGCTTTGATTTATATATGAAAAACAGTTTACTAAAAACCTCATGGGGATCTCACCAGAGAGAATGTAGACCCAGCAAGGAGCTTTTAACTCTCCTTTTAAAGAACAGAAAGAGTACAAGCTCTGAAGTGAAATAT